CCCCAAAACCCCAAAACCCCAAAACCCCAAAACCCCAATCGATATAAATACTCTTGAATTCAATAAAAATTAAGAATAAAAATGGGAAGTGTAACCAAACTGACTATGACTTCTTCCATGTACGTGCACATAATCCTTTGCTATGTTTACATGCTAAGAATCTGCCTTTCTTATGAAGGAGAAGCTGGAGTGCCTGGAGTTTTGCTCTGAATCCACTTCTGCAGTACATTATACAACCAAATTGGTAAGTAGCCTTGTTGAGCATGAAATGTAAAATTTTAAGCATTGAAAAGTTGGCCTAAATTTGAAAAGGGTTTTGGATGAATATAAATTTTATTCCTACAGCTATTTATAATTCAGGGGTTTCTTTTATCTAAGATCTATTACTTTGAGAATCTTGTTTGTTATCTGAAGGAAGTATGTTGAATGAAGTTTAATGGCGAATTCTGACCTTAATCTTATGAGACAATTAATCATATTTTCATGCTTTTTTAGCCCAACATAACTGCTCAATTCCCCTATAGCTCTAATTACATATTTATGACTCATAAGCATGTGGAAGTGCTTTAAGTCCAATCGAAATTTTTATTAAAAAATAAGCATTTTCCTTTACATCTCCAAATTTCCTCTTCATAGTCTAAATTCCCCTTAAAAATCCAAATTTCGTTCAAAACACAGCTATCATTGGGCTTGGCTTACTGGAAGTGACTGGGCTAGGACTAGGCTTGTGTGAAGAAGGGTTTACTAGTTGGAATTTGAGGGTGAAATAAAGAAGGATTTGGGAAGTTAGGGATTTTTGGGGCTGTCATGGTGCTGGAGGAGTGGAGTAAGGGGGTTTTGGGGAGTAGGAGGGTGTGGAAATTAGGTAAAGGGTTTGGAGAGTTTAGGAGTAACTCAAAATACGGGGTATTTTAGTGCAGTTTAAGAGATTAAGGTTGATTTTAAGTTTAGAGGGTTGCTTTTGATTACAAATAAAGGTTTATTAAATTACTAAGGTCTGTAGGCAAATGAAAGTTATGCACCTTTCTTTTTGTAGAATTTCATTGCAGAATTGTGTCAGAAATCTTCGGAGAATCTTAATTTTATAAATAACTTTGCAACAATTATAGAAATACGTAAGCTTATAATAAACAAGAACCAATATAGTATTATTTGATAAAAATTTACGAGCCACATGCCCAAATAAGTCCATTACAACTTTTAAAATCTAAAAACCTTTCTGCTCAAAAACCTTCCATACATCCAATCAAATCCCAACCCTTCGTTCCCAAAAGTAAAATCCTCCAAAACCCCCAACCATTCCAAAAATTAACCCCTTCACCTAAACCACCCACCCACACCTCCAAATACCCCAAGTGGCCCAATTCTTTCTAATTTCTAAACTTCCCCACCAAAACCCCAAACCTTCCTTCTGCATCCTTTATCTTCAAGTATAAAATCTGAAGCCAAAAGTTAGCCTCAGCTGTGGGAATTCAGTAATTTCCAAGACCCGAATAAGTAGTCTTACCTATCCATAGTGCTGTCAGAATATTTCAAAGTAGACAATGAAGATATGGAGGACTACCTCTCCTGTCCTGACCGGTAAGGATTTTTGGGGTTGGAATTTGGAGAATAGAGGAATTTTAACATTTTTAGGGAAGAAGGAAGCTTGGATTCGTATGAGAATAGATAAATTAGAGGCCATGGGACTTGTGGGATACCTTAGTTGTCATAAATTATGGGTTTATAGTGAGTTAGCCTCTTGATTTTCATCTTTGAATTCTAAATCAATTCTTTATATCTCATCTAGGCACATAAAAATGTGGAAGTACCCATTCCTATGTGATTTGGTATTCTTCAACTACAGGTTTTTCAAAGAAATCAAAGATGTAGTGAGAAAATTTGAAGATAAATTAAAAATAATCCCAACTACCTTAAGGATTTTCTTCTGTTTATATAACGTAGGATACATTTTTAGAGCCAAAGGTGCGAAGGATGTAGAAATGGCTATTGTCTTCAATTATGTATACTTCATTGTGAGCTTCCTCAAGTCAATAAGCTTCCTCAAATATTTTATTTTTGGAATTTGGATTTTAATAACCCTTCCTTTCCTTATTGCCCTTGCTTATGTTGAAGCGGCCTTTTCAAAATGAAAGAGAAGAGAAAGAGTGCAGGCTGAGCGTCCTCCGCTGTTTCATGTGCAAGGAATCAATGACAACCAACACCATCCTGGACAGTTCCTAATGAATAGGAATCCGTTTCAGAATCAGCCAGATATTTTTGCTGTTCCAGTACTAGGAGCACAAAGACACCCAATTCAACCTCAGAACAACCGACCAGCTCCACCTCTTATTCAGAATCACCCCAGAAATAATGATTGGGAAATGGATAATTTTCTAAGGAGAATGCAAAGTTTTGCAAGTGAATTAGACCATCCTGAAAGAATGAACTCCATTAACTTAGTAAAGTTAATGTTAGACAGTTGGAGGAAAAAATTTACAAAATCCGATAAGAACAACACCCCAAGCTGCTGCGTTTGCTTAGATGACTTTGAAATAGGAGAAGATGTGATCGAACTTCACTGAAATTCAGGCCAAAACGGCCATATTTTCCATGTCCATTGCATAGACAATTGGTCGAAGAAAGAGAAGACATGCCCTCTCTGCAGAACAAATTTTGTTGATCTCATCAAACAAGAGAAACGTGATGGAACGCTTAATAAAAGAGTTGATCAAGAAGATCAGAAAAGTGAGAACGAAGAAGTAAAAGAGTTCATCAGGTTTAACAGCATTCCGATGAGAGGCCCTGAGCTCGGAGTAGAATCAGTCCTCAACAGAGAAGATCGTAAAGAAGAGTCTGTGATTGATGAAGTTCTGGATAGTGAGTATTTAGAGTCTTCAGCAAGTAGAATTAGCCTTGAACCTGCTGAAATTGGACAAAATCATTGGATGAATCCAGAAGTAAATGAATTAAGTGATGACTTTTTACCTGTAATACCTCTGCCTGATAACTCAGGAAGACGAGAGAGTAAGTTAAATGCAATCAAATAAACTTTCTTTCCTTCATTTATTCTCAAGCTTTTATAATTGCAAGTTTTTGCTTTCTTTCAAAATAAAAAAAAGCCTTCGTTCAATCAGAAAATATTCATTTCTCCTTAGTTAAGCTATTACTTAGTGAATTGTAGTTGAATCGAAGGCTTTAAAGCTGCTAACTTTTCAATAGTTCTAAGCGCGAATTTCTCGAACAGAGAAGGATCCAGACCAATCTGTAAAGTTAACTCATTTTAACAATGTAGCTTCAATGATCAGACCATCTAGTAGATAAAGCACAAGCACGCTGTGGAAATTTTTAAAGAAGAAGTATTAAATATGACCAATATCTTATAATATTTTGATATTTTGGGGTTTTGGGGTTTTGGGGTTTTGGGG